TTTTTTTTTTTTTTTTTTTTTTAATATTGTAAAATACAACACAGAACTCTTCTTTTTCGTATTCCAGATTCAGGCAGCGAATCGGGCTCCCACAAAAGTATTAGGGATAAACGTCCATCGGGTCCCTCGGACGGGAAGCCCACGCGAGTGCGAACGGTGCTCAACGAGAAGCAGCTGCATACCTTGAGGTGAGCATGCGCCCAGCTAGCCCAGCTAGCCCCGCCCACCAATGCTAAATCTCGCATCACTCAATCTTTTGCAGAACCTGCTACAATGCTAATCCGCGACCTGATGCGCTAATGAAGGAGCAGCTGGTTGAGATGACGGGCTTGTCGCCTCGTGTCATTCGCGTCTGGTTCCAGAACAAACGCTGCAAGGACAAGAAGAAGACTATTCAAATGAAGTTGCAAATGCAACAGGAGAAGGTAACGCGCTCTCCCCTCTTTCACTCTCTCCCTCTCTGTGGACATTTTTCACATGTGACTTTGCTTTACCTTGCAGGAGGGTCGCAAGCTGGGCTACGGCGCCATGCAGGGCATTCCCATGATTGCCAGCTCACCCGTGCGACACGACTCACCGCTGAATCTGCAGGGACTCGATGTGCAGACATATCAACCGCCATGGAAAGCCTTAAGCGACTTTGCCCTGCACGCCGATCTGGACAGCAACGGGGCCATCAATACGCACACGCCCGCATTTCAGCAGCTCGTCAACCAGGTGAGCAAAGAGTCATGAGAGTGGCCAGCTATCGCAGCTGAACTAGTTATGAATAAATAGGGAACTAGTTCTTCCGAGAAAAGACTATTCTATCATAATTAATCGCTTCTCTCTCTCTCTCTCTCTCCTGTAGATGCACGGCTACGATTTGAATGGAATGCCCGTGCTGCCGCCACATCCGCCTCAGGGACCGCACCCCCCGCCGCCGGGCCAGCAAATGAACGGGCCGCCCGGCGGGAGCAGCCTGGACTCGGGCATCACGTCGCACCACCATCCGGACAGCACCGATTCGTATGTGACGTACCTGGAGAGCGATGACAGTATGCAAGGCAGTCCATAGACAAAACGTACCGAATCTAATCTCAGCTTCTTTTGTTGCTCCAGAATCCAAGCTGGCGCTGACGCCATCCTCCTCGTCATCGGCATCGGCGGCCACATCGATCTCATCGCCGCCGTCGTCCGCAGTGGTGGGTGGGGCTGGTGCCAATCTTGTGGGCGTGGGCGTGGGCGTGGGCGTGGGCATAGGTGTGGGCATGGGCGTGGGCATGGCCGAGGGCGGCAATCCATCGGCCACGGAGCAGCTGATGCAAATGCTACAGAAAGTTACCGGCTCGCCGGCATCAGTTCTCTGAGCTTGGGAGCGTGGCGGCTGCGATGGCGAGGTTGAGGATGCAAAATCAAATGCAGTTGCTGCTGCTGCTGCTACTGCTGTCAAACAGCGCAAACAGCTCGCGGGCTTGTGCAATGTGGCTGATGAAGCCGTTGCGCCTCGTCTCAGTTTTTGATTCGGTGCCAAAAACTAGTCTCTGGGCCAATTGGCTGGCATTCGGAAGTGGGTCTCCAGGCTCCCTCCCCCTTCCCCTCTCTATATCTCCTTCTCCTGCTCTTATTCTTATTCTTCTTCTGTCGTTTCCGATATCTCCATTCCTATTGCTTAACACTCTAACACTACCTCTCACACTTTACCCCTGTTGCGGCTGCAGGTTTCGGTACACAGAAAAAAGAAAAAACGAAAACACGGAGACGAATTCAAGTTTCAACTTTCATTTCATCGTTTTCTTTGTTATGTAATATACGTAATATTTTTGTTGTTCTTTGAATTAATAATAACGCAAAAAAAAAAAAAAAATGAAATATATGAAGAAAAAAAGAAAAAAAAAAGGAATGCTCATACACTTGAAAAGTTTTAACAATAATTTCGCATTAAAAAACAAGCTCGTCAAGTAGGGAATTTCATTAAACACACACAAAAATTGTAAATAATTTTATATATATATACATACACATATATTTTCATTAAAAATGCAAAAAACAATACAAAAACAAAATCGAAATTCATATGCGTACATTAAAAGCCCAAAATGGAAATGCAAAACGAGAAATTGACTATAAAAATGAACACAAAACAAAACAAGAACCTCGTGTGTATTATATGAGTATATATATATAAACTGCAAAGTAAACTAAACTATAAAGAATTCAAAAACAAATCGCACTTGGCCAGTTGTAAATCGAATTAACAAAAAAACAAACGCTACGTTAAGTTCATTAAATTGTATTAAATGAAAATGAAAATCGAAGGAAGAAATATGATGGAAACGTATGTAAGTGAGAAAACTGTAACTAAATCTAGACTTATTTGTTAGTTTATATAATATATATATATATACACACACATATATATATTTCCATTAATACACAAGAAACGAATGCAAACTGTAAGGCAGCGAACGTACCAAGGATGTTTAATACATTGTTTCGTGAAACAACTAATGTATTTTCAATAATATTTAAATAATATTAATAATAAACAGAGCATAAGTAATTTTAGTAACTATAGAAAATGTTTAAATGAAATTACAAACGAAAATAAATAACAAAAATCAGCATAAATTGAATTGTGGTATTTTTTGGGATTTTACATTTTAAATTACGCGCCCCTATTGCTCTGTTAAGGAAAAGGTTGTTTTGTGATTTCAAATTGAAGACTTTGCGCGCCCATTTGACTGTCAAGACAGTATGGAATTTTAGTTGCTTGGCAGCACTACCGAAGCGCAACCAACTTCAAGTGTGTTCTCAACTCATGTGAGCTAATTTTTGCGTGCAGCCAACTTCAAGTGAGCAGAGCATTGCGCACAGCCAACTTCACGTGAGCAGCACGTAAATAAGCTGGGAGGCTGTTTCTTATTCTGTTTTTAAATAGTACAGTAAATAGTAAATAGTCATAGCAATGTCTATCGCTAAGCGTGTGCAGGTTTGTATTGATGTAATGCGGGGCTTGCACATTATAATCGAGCGTATTGTTCACAGCAATGGGCAACATTTGCGCGTACCTGGCACATTTACGATTGCACCTGGCAAAATCCTTTCGAGTCTGCTCAGCTGGTTAAAACACATTTGATGGGCCTGCATAAGCCCATTTACCATCCAATGAGTAAGTATAATGCAGCACTGATTTGATTTAATATAGTTTTAAGTGAAAACGTGTGAAAAATCAAACCGCGAATTTCTGTGCGCTTCGTTACGTCACAAGCGTCTGAATTGTTATTGTTGTTGTTGTGAAGCATTTGCCGGCTGAACGAAGAATTGAATGAAGAATTGTGAATCCCGTGGTCAGTTCTAGGTTAGCTTTATACTAGTATGCTCCAAACCAAACTTAATCGACATTGTTCTTGTAGATGACTGCGGCGACCATGTGGTGCTGATCAATACAAAAGAAATTGCGTTGCCCGGCGATGAGTGGGTGAAGCGTGTCTATTTCCACCACACCGGCTATCCAGGTGGTGCGTCCTGGACGTTGGCTTGGCAGCTACACGAGAAGGATCCCACGATGGTCATGAAAAAGGCGGTTTACAATTCCATGAGGGGCAATCTGCAGCGCAGGCACACAATGCAGCGATTGCATCTGTTCGCTGATGACCAGGTGCCGGAGGAGATTCTCACGAATGTGACAAACCAAATACGCACACCTCGCACAGTGCCCCAGCGATTGGATCATATTGATAAGGAAACGCTAGAGAATTTCCCTGCCATTGTGGATTATCCCAAGGACTATGTGTTGCGATAAGACGAATACTAAGGGTATTGTTAAGCAAAATATAATATTGTTATTTACAATTTTAAGCGTTGGATTTTATTGTCTGGCCAGAGCAGATAGAGCACAATTTGAATAGCAACGAAATACAATATATTTAAGCATATCGATACTTTTGATATCGATAGCTTTTGCGCAGCCCTGGCTTGTTTTTTATTTTCGTCTGCCGGCAGACAGCAGTGAATTGCATTAATACTCAATTTTTAAGCAACGCCCACTCAATTTTTAACTGGTGTGATCATCAATAATTGCGTTTTAAGACATTCCGCAAGCGCAACAGCTGGTGAGAGTTGAATTAAATCGCGCTGTGCCATACCTTATCGCACCTCTCGAAGACTTGTTTAAGGCTTACCATTTTATCTTTCTCTCTCATTTTCCGTTGTTTTGCTTGCAGTCACCACACGAACCTTGTGCACGACACATCTGCAAAAAGAGTCTCAGCATTCGCAGCTTTTGCCCATTTATCAGGTGAGAAAACGTAATATGGGTCGTTTGAGCAGCGTCGATCCCAGCTCCTACTCCGAGCCAGAGAAGATAACCACCGAGCACACCGCTATCCACTGGAATGTGGATTTCGAGGCAACGAAGCTGCGCGGCAGTGTTCTGCACAAATTCAAGGTGCTAACTAGCAACCTGGAGAGCATTGTAAGTAAATTGGCAGTAAAACTTTATAGTGTAACTAATTGGATATTTGTTTAACTAGCTTCTGGATGTGCGTGACATTGAGGTGAAGAATGCCACGTTGCTTGCTGGTGGGTCGGAGCAGCCTATCAATTACTTCATCAGCGATCCCGTGCCTGATGTGGGCCAGAAACTTACACTGGAGTTGCCAGCCGGCACAGCGAAGGGCAGGTAGGGGAGCACTCGATAAGCCCGCTAGCGAGCTAATCTATATGGCACCTGTAAATAATGCCACTTATAATCATACATATCTGTATCGCGCAGTCTTAACGTACGTATTGATTACGAGACGGCTAACAACGCGAGTGGGCTGCAGTGGCTGAACCCGAACCAGACCTTGGGCAAGCAGCATCCGTACATGTTCTCGCAATGCCAGGCTATACATGCTCGCTCCGTGATGCCCTGCCAGGACACACCGGCTGTGAAGTTCACCTACGATGCTGTCGTGGAGCACCCCAAGGAGTTGACCGCGCTGATGAGTGCTCTGATCGATAAGAACGAGCCGGGCAAGACGTACTTTAAACAGGAAGTGCCCATACCAGCGTATCTGGTTGCCATCGCCATTGGCAAACTTGTGTCCCGCCGCTTGGGCGAGAACTCGAACGTGTGGGCCGAGGAGGCTATCGTTGATGCCTGCGCCGAGGAGTTCTCGGAAACATCTACTATGCTGAAGACCGCCTCCGATTTGTGTGGACCCTACGTGTGGAAGCAGTACGATTTACTTGTGATGCCGCCCTCATTTCCATTTGGTGGCATGGAGAATCCTTGCTTGACCTTCGTCACGCCCACTCTGCTAGCGGGCGATAAGTCCTTGGCTAATGTGGTTGCCCACGAGATCGCACACAGCTGGACGGGGAATCTTGTGACCAACAAGAACTTTGAGCATTTCTGGCTAAACGAGGGCTTCACTGTCTTCGTCGAGTCCAAGATTGTGGGTCGCATGCAGGGCGCCAAGGAGCTGGACTTCCGCATGCTGAGCAACCTCACCGAGCTGCAGGAGTGTGTAAGTAACTTCTACTATCTATATTTGATTTATTATGAACCATGATTTCTGTTCTGCAGCTACGAACTCAATTGGCTGGCACACCGGAGCTTACACGACTCGTGGTTGATCTGAGCAACTGTGGACCGGATGATGCATTCTCGTCTGTACCTTACATCAAGGGCTCGACATTCCTGCGCTATTTGGAGGATTTGTTGGGAGGTCCCACTGTCTTTGAGCCCTTCCTGCGCGACTATCTGAAGAAGTTTGCGTACAAGTCGATTGTGACGGATGATTTTAAGGGGGCCTTGTACGACTATTTCAAGGATACGGACAAGAAGGATAAACTAGGTCTTGTTGACTGGGAATTGTGGCTGAAGTGCGAGGGCATGCCACCTATTATACCAAAGTACGTAGGATAGATTTAATGGGAGAATATAGACAGAAATATTTGATATTAAATATTATTTACAGATTCGATGAGTCCCTTGCAAATGTGACTAAGAACCTTGCCAGCCAGTGGAGCACAAAGACTGTGGATGAACTGGCCAATAGCACGGACATCAACCAGCCCATTTCCATACACCAGTTGATTGAGTTCCTAGGCAAACTGATTGAGTGCAAAGACATTGTGGAGCTAAACGAACGCAAAATTGAGCTACTGGAAAACACGTACAATCTCAAGAAGTCGAAGAATGCCGAAGTGCGCTTCCGCCTCAATCGCTTGATCATACGTGCTCGTCTTATCCAGCGCCTGGACGAGATTATCGAGTTTGCCAATTCAAACTTCCGCATGAAGTTCTGCCGTCCCATTTATCGGGACTTGGCCGCGTGGCCCGAGGCCAAGCCGCGGGCGGTGGACAACTTCCTCAATGTCAAGGACCAAATGATGGCCGTCTGCTCGCACACCATCGAAAAGGATCTGGGCCTGAAGTAAACCCAAATTGCATTTAATAAAGTTCAACTTGAAGCTGTTTTCGAAAAACAATGAAAAAAGACTACAAAATTAACAAAAAATTTCAGTATATATTATTCTCTGGCTTTTCTTGAATTATTGTTTTTATTAAAAAATAAGCAAAACTACGTTTATAACAAGTTGATTTTCCATTCCATGCTCATCATATGCGACTCTTTTAAATGTATTTTGTCATCTCTCAAATTGAATTTTTTGCATTCCGAATTTGTCGTAAAATTTTGTGTATCCTTATTTTGTTTTTCAACTATTTGTAGTGCAATCGGCCCAAAGCATTGCCAATTTTTTGTGTTCCTCACATTCAAATTAGGGATATTTCTCTCAATTTTTGTAATTCGTTTCGACTAACATTAAATTTTGTACAACTAACCAAATGTTGCTCAAGTTTTCGGGTCCTATGCGACAATTATACTTTGAATGCCTCTTAACTTAGTTATATTCTTTTGTTATATATTTTGTTTATCATTTTCTTGTTCATCTTGATTTAAATTCTTTAAAGTTCTGCTCGTAAATACACACACACACACAGATATTAAATTTATTATTGTTTTTGCTTGCATTTTGTTTTTCAACTTTACGAGTTTTGCTTTTACTTTTGTTTAAACTAATCAACAATTTGTTTTCTTTTCTTTGTTTTCTTCTCTCTTTGTTTTACATTGACCAAAATGCAACCTCAACATTATTCTTGTGGACAAAGTGTTTGTTATATAAATTTGTTGTTGCTCTTGTCGCTGAGGAATAAAAACTATCACGCACTAGAATTATCATTGGAACGGGATGTGGATGGACCGGCACCCAGATCATCTCCCACAACGAACGTGGGACTCTGGCGGGACGTGGACGTGGCAACCGGCTGGTAGTGATAGCCCTCGCGATAACGCTGATTCGGTTTTATCCGTGCGGTTTGTGTGTGACCCAATGTCGGACGCTGATTAAGCTCATTGGGTCGTTTGGCTGCAATCGAGAGAAGGCGAGACGAGAGTAGACTGGTTAGTTAGTAAATAAACTCTATAGCTTAAACATCAAATTGAAATAGATTTAGAATCTATATTCTATTTATTTAGCTTTAGCAAATACTCATACTGGAAATGATTTCAAATCAAATCATGCCCACCACAAGAAACACCATCTTACAAAAATACTGCAGCATACATTTAGGCTTCCTTTAAACAAAAGCCATTAAGATAATACTTTAACATATATAAATATTCTAGAGTTACTGTATCGATTTATCGATATCGACATCGATTAGGGAGTCCTGCTAGGAACTAGTAGTATAAAAATTTTACCTCTTCGGGGTAGTTGTCATAGGGCTAGATCTAAGCATTCTGTGTATCATGTTAGCTAACTTAACATACTGTAATTGCTGTAACCAGCTTCACTAAATTCTGCAGAGCTAAATTCAGAATATATTTGAGGGACATGCTCTCAATTTTCTAGGGTAGGTTATCTTTTTATAACTATCTATGGCCTCATTTTTGTATATTTCGAAATTGTAGATTCCCAATATAGGATTTGTGGAGTACCTGTACCGGAGTACCATAAACATATATGAGCTTAATCTATGTATTTAAATCTACTACATTGTGAATCTACAATTGTTATAATAGATATCTGTTAATGATCTACATGTTCAGTACATCATATCATATACATATCTTTCTTCCCAAAAGTTCTTATACGAATAGCATAAGGTACTATAGTACCAGTACTTTAGCATAGCATAATATATTAGGGTTTAGCTAAAACTTTTGAATCATATGATTTAATATACTATGAATACCTAGTCTTCTACTTGATTCAGGCTAGCTCCTAGTTCAAGTCTGATGAATAGAAAGGAACTTTGGGTTTTTCAAGTTATAACCATTAATATGAATATAAATTTTTGTGTTATTTGATTTGCATTTCTAGCAAGTCCAGCTGCAACTCACCAGGTATATAAGGCTTTTGATTATAGGACGATTGTTGTTGTTGTTGTTGGTTGTATGCATCGGGCGCCGTTGCATTGCCATTGGTCTGGCTGCTGTGCTGATAGGGCGTCAGATTGTGGCCAGTGTCTGGCTGTAGCTGGAGATCGGTGCTGTTGATGGGGCTCATCGGCGTCATTTCGCGATCCTCGATAAACAGTTCGCTGGCATCGTCGGGCACCTGGCGATACTGCGACCAGGGCCAGGAGGCGATGCCCGACAAGAGGAGCGCCTCCAAGGCGCAAATGTAGCCAATTAGCTAAGGGAAAGTACACGGAAATTAAGATGAATCCATAGTGGATCTTGGAGCTGCTTACGCCTGTGGCTAGTAACGTGTCCTTGGAGTGCTTGGATACCCAGGTGTACTCGGTCGCATAGAGCACCATGTGGACGAGCAGCGTGGAGCTCAAAATAAATATTAAACCAATGCTCAGGTACATCCACGTGTTCTAGAGGAAGAATAGAGAGATTAGATCTTAAGTAGAGAAAGGGAGGGAGAGGGAGGGGGACTACGTATACGCACCACCTTCGTCCAGTTGAATGGGAACATTAGCGCTATGTGCGATATATCGAGAAAGATCATGAGGCATGTGATGAGTAGCGAGAAGAGCGCACAGAAGACCATCAGCCTGAGGCGCCCGATGAGTGGCAGTAGAAAGAGGCCCACCTGCACGGTGCCCGCGGAGCACTCGCAGGCAAGGCAGACGGCCGAGGATAACTGCAGAGCAGAGCGCAGGATAATAAATAAACTGGTTAAGAACTGCCCAGATGATAGTCTCTGGCCATGGCCACGGCTTACCACCAGTAGTATGCGCACAATCCCTGTAGGCGTTTTCAAGTGTTGCGGATCACAGTGTAGGGCGACGCCCCATGGCAGCGGCGTTTGTTGTTGCTGTTTGTAGTTGGCGTGCGAGTCCCAGGAGGTGCACGTGCCCAGCGGCGATTCGAGTGAGAGCGAGAGCTCGCCGGCTCTGCTGCCAGCTATTTCAAAGTCCTGCTCATCGTCCAGCTGACAGCAGACCGGCTCCAGCTCCAGCTCACGTATCTCGTCCAGCAGCAGTTCTATCTCGTCCGTGCCATATAGATCAGATACAGACGGTATATAACGTTGGGGTTGTTGCATTGCCCGTTGCGGGATGTGTCCCACATCACCGTTGCGTGGCCTGGGCGTACAAAATTTGATGCCTGCGGCGCCGTTCTATCGCGTCCACGACTGGCTCGCCTCTGCCCAAACGTTTGCTTTATTAGTCCTATGCGTGGCCGTTGCCTGCGCCTGCAAAGAAATGGTAGTCGGTTAAGCATCGGCGATATTGATTATAGTAAGATTATAAAAGATTCTTCCATTCATGTTACTCATGCGCCGTGTTGGCTATTCCAAGAGGATTGAGTACGAGAGGGGGCAAGCAGCTATATAAGGGACTGAAGTGTCTATTATGAAAAGCTTGTTTGAGCACAATCAAGCCAAGAGCGTATTGTAGTACATCTCAAAATATATCTTATCAGAATATATATCAACCAACAGAAAATATTGTATGCCGAGAGCATATTGTAGTGCATCTCGAAATACTTCCGATATCTATCAACAACAAATAATGTATTGTATAATAAATATTATGAGTAATAATTTGCTCAATATCCTGAAAAATATTCACTATTTCATAAATCTGGCCTTAAAGCTGCATTCCTAAAGTGAAAATTCTAAAAATAATAACAACTTCATTATGTATTTTACTTTGATTTTTGAGCTGAGCAAAATCTTTAATTCATACAAACATTTACATTTCCCTTATTTAGTATAATAATTTATTTGATTTAGCAGAATTGTACATCAGTCATTCCATATTTAATGAATATTGCCTTCGCAAAGCAAACATTTTATAGAGAAAACTTAATTTTATATATGCACATGTTTATTTAATTATATAAATAAATAGATATGTATGTAAATAATATACTATGCTGCACACTGAGCAACATTTGTAATTCATGAGGCTATCCATAGACTTTACTCGTGCCAACATTTTCTCATTTGTCCCAACATGTCTGTCAGGCATTCCGATTCCATGCTGTTGCATGTTTAATTGGCAATTATAACAAATACCAGCATATTGCACATGGAAGGAAACTAATATGCTGGCATATTTAGCACATTTGATATTAGTTTGGTATTTGGCAGCACTGTTGCGTATGTAGCTGAGCTCCGCATGTTCGCTGAACGAAAACGATTTTCATTTAGAAATATTTCGCTGGAATTGAGTCATAGATATCATCAGTGAATACCATGAGCCACGCAAGAGCATTTAGGGGCCGACCTCAGCTCCGCAAAGCCACATTTGGTTTATTTGGATGTTGTCTGATTTTTATTGTGATACGAGCCGAGTTGTGTCAGCTGGCTCAGTTGGCTGCCAACTCGAAATGAAATCAAATTGAATTTCGACCTGGCCCCCGCGCGTATGCATGCTTTTTTTATGTCACACACCCAGGCAATTAACACAGAGGCAAACCAGATGTGTGTGTGTGTGGGTGTGATGTGATGTGCTGTGACGCCTGCATGAAAGCAACTCCATGGAGAATTTTTGGTACATTTCAGGCCCTGCCAGAAGCTGACTGCCTGGCTGGCCGCATTTCCTTGAGTTGTCATAATCAGGACACAAATGAAGGTAGCTTGTCATTGCTGTTGTTGCAGCACAAGGACTCGCTGCTGGCAGCGGGACAGCAAAAAGTGGGCAGCTGCAGCTGGCTGGCCAGTCAACCTGCTGCTGCAGAGGATGCCACAGGCAGCTGCCTGCCCGACTGCCTGCTGCACATATGCGATACTGTGGCTGTTCGTGTGCCACTCTGTGTATGTGTGTGTGTGTGTGTGTGTGTGCGAGAGTCGACAGGCAATGTAACCATTTGTGCTCTCGCTCGTTGTTTGAACGTGAAGTTGTTGTCGCTGCTGTGGCGGCTGCTGCCACCGTTGTCCTTGCTCCAGTTTAAGCACCAGCCTCCGCCCCTCTCCTCTCTCCTCTGAGCAGCTCTCAGCTGCTCTGCCTGCTTATCTGTGCCCTGTTATCGCTGCAGATAGGCAGTGACTGCATCAAGTGTCTAATGAGTGCGCGCTCGCCTTTCATCGCATCTTTCATCCCCATCATCATCCTCGCCATCTTCATCTTCATCTACAGACGTGCTCTATCTATTGAGGCAATGCGCTTATAGCATTAGGCTCTTCAGCCATAGACAATGAAGCGCGCCCTTCAACTGCTCGCCTGCCTACCCCATCCGATGTCTGTGAGGCTTTTTTGCACAATTTGAAATCAATTATGCTCATCTGCATATAAACTGACTTGCTGGGCTCGGGGCAAGGGCTTTTGCCACTCTGATCCGCCTCATAGTTGGGCAAGGGGGGGCTGTGTCGCCTGCAGCGCCACCTAGCGGAAGTGCTTTGCATGCAAATTTATTGTCAATGCTTCATTCGCTTCGACTTCCACTTCGACTTCGACTTTGCTTCGCTTCGACTCTGGACACCAAATGGGCGGGGCTGCAACAGCAGTTGGGGCCACAGCCACAGCTGGGGGTTGGGGGTTCATTTGAGGTGCCAACGCTGCTGCATTTCTTATTTATGAACGTGCATAGACAATGCTCGGCCTTTGTTTGAGCTTGTGCTCATATTACGAGTAGACCTCATATAACTTTTTCTACATATACATATATGTATATAAGCATGCATGTATGTGTGTATATACATAAGTACGTCTACTCGAGCCAGCCAGCCTTTGTCGCATTCAATGGACCGAAAGTTGCACCGTAAATAACTTTTAATAGAATTTCTAATGGGCTGCTATTTGGGCGTGGGGCCAAGCCACACACACACGCACACATAGACATAAATCTGATTTTTTTGTTGACTATATTTTAATATAGCAATAATATGTGGATATCAATCAGGATTTTAGTTCGGCTTTGATGCATTTTAATATTTATTTAATTGATTTTTCTTTTTTTTTTTGGTCATTAGATATGTGTATACATATGTGAAAATCTATTAGCATTTAAGCTTAGTCTTTCTTAGACATTTTTTTTTATTTTTTTTTTATTTTTGTATGTGACATTTCGGCTTAGTTTTTTGTAGATGAGCTCCTTGTCACTTAAGCTGGCTTAATTTCGGCTTCAAAGCTCAGCTGAGCTGATGTGAAAACAAAGTACTTTTACTTAGTCACAAGAGATATATAGCGTATATACTTATATAATATGCATTAAGTTCTCTTGTTGTCAGCAGTAAATAATAATAATAATAATAATATTAACAAGTAAAAAAGCTCTAGTCGAGACTGCTCGACTACGAGATCCCCTGAACCCTTGGAGCAATAGATATTTCAATAATTTTTCGCGTCTTTCAGCTTACATAAGAAACACGACACGAACTGCGAACTGCGA